GTGTGTGTGTGTGTGTGTGTGTGTGTGTGTGTGTGTGTGTGTGTGTGCTTGCAATGGGGGACACGACTGCAGTGTTCCTATCACGTCCGGAGCTGGGATGTGTATCATGATTAATAGATGAGGCCATGGCCCAGCCTGTGCTCTGCACTGTATGAGATCAAACTAAATTCTCTCTCTCTCTCTCTCTCTCTCTCTCTCTCTCTCTCTCTCTCTCTCTCTCTCTCTCTCTCTCTCTCTCTTCCCTGCTGTCTCTCTCCGTCTTCTCTCCCCCCAACCCCATCCTGTCTCTCTCTCTCTCTACCTCTTGCTCGCTCAGCCGAAAGCCCCGAATGCTGACTGGCGATATTCTGCATCTTTGAGGGCAGGGATGCAGAGGTAAGCACTTTCCATCTTTAACTCTTTTGCAACTTGTGATCATCTAGAAAAAGTTACACCTTTTTTCATTCCGACTCACACTGTCTACACCCAGTCTCTGCTACCGCTACAGTGACCCCTTCACAATGCCCTTTACCACAGCTGCTATGTATGGGATCTCTAAGTAATGACACATCAGATTTCTTACAGATACCTGCACCTCAAAAATACCTGATTAATAACCCTATAAAAAAATGATAACAAAGACCAAATACTGCAGATCAGTGTGTGCTATGATCAGAAATGGACGATTAGTCGCCCCTCAGCATCGGTTTGGACCTCCATCCTCTTCCTTTGGAAGAGGCCATCTACAGCTCCCATCAGTGGATGCCTAGCACTCTTCCTCTGCAGTATAATATAATGTAGGTCATCTACATTCTGAGCGTCGCTTCCCCCCAGTTACAGTCTTTAAGCAGGAAGCGTGAAGGACAAATGAGCTGACTATGACCTTTCTCAGATTATCAGACGCACACATGCATCAGTGTCTGCATGTGCAACTGCCCCACACATGTGTGCCTTTCTGTGTGTGTCTCTATATATTTGTCCATGAGTCCAGACAGCAGAGGACATTTTGGACTCCAGTCCTACTTGTTAATTCAGCGGCATGCGCTCTGATTTTCCAGATATGGATTCATACGCCTTATTGCTTGACCAAATCCTAATTATAGAATGATTTAAAGATCGCATTCTCATTAGCTACCTACTGCACATCAGAGAATACTGAAATTAAGAGGATCTGATGATTGGAATAAATGTGTAGCTTTTAGTTTCTACGTCTGTCACTTACATCTTGTGATGAGGACACGAAAGTTGTATTGAAATACATGAATGAATGAAGTGTTTTGCTAATTTGACATGGCGACAGCTGGAACGTCAGGGACTAATGACTTTTACCTCCACATGTCTGAATTTTCATAATTTTATGCCAACAATGCTCAGCGCTCAGTTGTGCACTCTTCCGCTCTGTGTAAGTTTGATTAAATTGGATATTAGTGTTAATTTCTATGGCGTGGACGGTATCATAATGTGCATCATGTCATCAAGTCACTGTAACATGACATGGATTAACATAAATCATCATCGAAATTTGCCGCTGCCATCTCCAAACAGGCAGTGCCTGTAACACGCGCAGACACCGAGAGGCTCGTAACAACGCGTAACCCCCGACACACGCGTGCTGTAATCTATCACACTATACACGGCGTCTAGCAACAACTTCACTGACCCACATTCCTACTGAAGTCAATCAGTGTCGAAAACTCCAGTATCTGTGTCATGTTCTCACACATTAGAGCAGCACCTTTGCTTATGGAAAAGCTTGAAACCCACGCTGCTCGGTCTGTACTTGGCCGTTTTATATTCATGGCAAATCCCTATTCAACATAACGCATCAGTGTTTTGCAGTTTGAGGTTAGATGCTGGCTGTGCTGCATTGCAGAGGCCCCAGTCAGGGTAGGTCCTCCTATACAGTATGAGCTCTAACTTCATTATAAATGTATGGGGGGGGGGGAAATATCTCGTAGGAAAACTGCACCCATGCACTTAGCTTTGTGTGTTTATTACAGCATTGTTTTTAAAGGAATAGTTAGTCACTGAGGAAAATAGGCTAATTTATTCTCTTACCGGGAGCTAGATGAGAAGATTTATACCCTTCGTACGTCTGTCTTTTAAATATGAAGCCAGTTGTCTTAGCTTAGCTAAATGATATGGGGCAAGACGCATAGCCTTATGAGATATTATTGGGCCGTTAATTTGACTAATTTACAATTATCATGAACATGCGCTCATTTATTCACAGGTGGCATTCATCTTGTTAATGCTTCTTGCATGAGTTCCACTATGCCTACTAAGCTGATGACATAGCTACTGAAAATGTATCTTGCACTAATATTTCCCATTAAACTCTGATTAACCTAAAAGGTCCCCATGAGGCAAAACTGTGTTTTATTCTTTTCAATGCCATGCACGAGAACAGCCTCCAAAGCATACAAGTTATGCTGAATATTGTCATATTCTGAATAAAAGTGGAATATGACTTTGCCTGTAAACATAGTCAGTTAACCTTAACACTAAAAGTAGAAGGAATAGTTTCTATGTTGCCATCGCTCAGTGTGCTGCAGGACCCCCTGCTAAGTCGAATAAAAGAAAAAGTACACCCTCAGGCTTTCCACATCTCGTGAAAAAACTTTAGATAAAAAAAGAAAACATCTCAAACTTCATTTTTGTGCCATCCTGAGAGTCTATGTTGTGGTTGTGGTGTGACATTTTAATATTTTTCATTTGGGTGTGTTAGTAGTGTCCTACTTTTTATACACGTAATTATTAAAATATAAATATGTAACAAGATCAGCTGGAAATACTTAAATACATTAAATATGTTGTGTATCCCAATTGAATATGTAAACAGATGTCATCTTGAAACACTTTTAAAAATGTCTTCCTCTCCGCAGTCAAATGTCCAGACCCAGTCTCTTTACAACAATATGTATCTATACATTTTTGACATTTTAAGCATTTTTTTCTGTTGGATTACCGTTTCAGTTGAGGTTTTCAAAAAATATCTACACTACTGATTAACAGCTAGACGTCATGTCCCTGAATAAAGACTCGATGTTTGCTTCAAAGGCTGAATTAATATTAGATGGGATGTGTCTCACTGAGTTTGCTGGATGTGTTCTGCCTCTTAGTTCGGTCCACATGGAGGAGTCCTCTGTGATGCAAGGAGCCCAGGGGATGTTGGTCCAGAACTGGCCCACTGTGTCCAGCGCCGCGGGTGAGTCGAAGACTAGCAGTCAGGATAGAGTGAAAAAGCACTGAGCACTGTCACTGTCGAACACTGACTACATTCGATCGGAGGGAGACTGAGCAAGCTTTCATGGATCTTGCTTTAAAATGTATAAAAAAGGAGAGGATGTGAAATGTCTTCATGTAATATGTAGGCTTTAACTCCAGGCTATTTGGTGAAAGGCTTGTTAAAGTAGGCACCTGGGATTTGAACCTCTGGTACCCTGGTTGTGTGTGCCAAAAACATAATCGGTGGGAAGTGTTTTCGTCCTTGTCGCTGCACTTGTGACTCGCGTTACTCCCATTCGATGAAGCTAACCGCTGGCAGGTGAAGACAATCAACCCTGGGGTTCATTAAAAAGTAGAATCTGGAAGCTATTTGTATATAGAAAAAAACTAATAATTACATTATTAGACAGATGGGCATAACCTATCACTTCCCAGGGCATATTAAGAACTACCTTGTTCGCTACATAAGCATATATGGCAAAAGTGAATGAGTTGACTAATGTTTTTTAGATGATGTGTACTCTGTACTAGTGCCCTACTATACTAATTATAATTAAGGTAGAGAGATAATTTGACAAATTGTCTTGCCTTGAAGAAAGCGAATATGACGACAGTAGTTCAGCTAAATCGAAACTCTGATCATTTTCATGGATTTGCCTCTCAGTCATTCTGGTTCTGGTAAATACAGAATAGTTTGACAATTTGGGAATGCGCTTGTAAGTTTTCTTGCCAAAGAAGATCGAAGATGAGAAGATCGATTCAGCTCTCATGTCCATCTGCCAAATATGAAGCTACAGACAGGAGACAGTTAGCTTAGCTTAGCATAAAGACTGGAAACAGGGGAAAAGGCTAGCCTTGTTCTGTGCAGAGATTTTTAAAAAAAGATTATCTGCCTACCAGCACCTGTACTCATCTTTGCAACAAAGCGCAAAAATCAAATCACCGCACCTAAATGCCCATTACAACTACACATTACACATTCAAATGTGTTCATTGGATTATATTGAGTTGAAGAAGTTGAATTCATTCTCGTTTTTATTTTGGTTCAGATATGGTAAAACTGGGGCTTTGACAGAATTGTGCTTTGAATATCTACATGATCTTGAATTCCAGTGTGATGTTCATGCAGAGCTTAGCTGAGGTGCCAAAAAGCCCGGGGCCCTTATGCAGAGCCACAGATAAACAACTGTGTCCTCCCATGAAAGCGGCTGGCAGCACGGCGAGCTACAGACTGAAAAAGGAAACTGTTTTTTAATAAGAAATGAGTTGTCCTGAGTGGGTGGCAACATTGAAAATGTGTGGCATGTAGCACAACATAAGTGTAAAATAGAACTGGCCTCAGAAATGAACTGTGCTTCACAGAAACACTGGCTCGGAGCGCATGACTAACAGCTTTTGTCGGTTTATTGCCAAACTTTTGAAACTCCGATTTCGAAAAGTCTATGGAACATTGTGAGCTGTTCCCTCCTTCCTTCCTTCAGCCAAGCTTCCATTCATTGATTTCCCGTCTTGCTGCAGGAATTAGAACACAGATAGAGACTAGAGGGTGAAGGGTAGCATCACTGCCAATCACTCCGAGAGTCAGTTACAGAATATGTCTTTACTGTCTGTGAGGTTTTTTTTCTCTGTGGAAAAGAGAGCTGGGGAATGTTTCGAGATACAAGCTGTACCAGTTCCCAGTATCTCTGTTTGCTGCAGAGAAATGTGTGTTTTTTTCGGAGCAGATGAGAAGCTGTCTCTAAGTAAAGGCTGAAATATAGTATTATCTGTAAGCAGAATGCACAGCGTACTGCAGACCTTTCAGGGGTGCATTGTTCCAAAAGGAAATCATTTGTCAGGCTATAGACATGTGATGGATCGCAGGTTGATCCTCTTTAGTATGCATCAAGAGGTGGAGCCCATTTTTGTGACACATTTTCATGTCTGCAGTTATTGTCACCCCGATGAAGTTGTCTGATACGCTGCGCTGCATCTAAATGCAGCGCACCCTCAAAACGGTGTTTACATAAGTGACCCGTGGCGCAGATGAGGAGACATTTGTCTAATGCCAGAGGGGGAGAGAGGCTATTATCAGGACTAAGAGATGGAAAAAAAGAGAGATCCAGTAACATTAAAAGCAATTTTGGAGAGGAAGAGCAGAGGACACGTACAGGGGGATTGGAGGGGAAAAAAAGAAAAAGCGAGGTGTGTGGGGGGATGGAGAAAGAGAAAGGTTAAGAGGATTGGCAGGTTCCTGCAGTAGTGTTGTTGCTAGGGAACGCCATGTGACCTGTTGCCTGGCAACACTGTCTAACTGAGAGATTGCTGCAGCAGCCGCACCCTCCATCAGCAGGGAGTGGGCGAGGGCAGTTTCCATGGCAACCGGTCATATCTCTGAATGGAGGATTTGGAGACGAGGGGAAAAAAAGAATAGGAAGGAAGGAGTAGGGAGCGGAAAAAGGGACGGGGGACTCGGCAAGGGCAGGTATTAGGGAGAAAAAGAGGGCACGCAGTAATTTAGAGGAAATAATAGTCGGAAACAATGGTTTAGGTTTCGGTCTCTCCTGCAGAATACACGCGATGCACCGCATGCAATTACACGAGCACTACACGACTGTCAGATGTTGTGCATGTGTCACAAACCGCATTAGGGATTCATTTTAGATGGAACCAGACAGGATATAACAGCCTATTTTAAAATGTAGGACATCAGGTTAGATGAGATGAGGCTTCAAACACCCACATATCTACACCAGGTGTCACGGCAGCCTCCTCATGAGGAGCTGTGTACTGACCTGCTTACCAGCAGTTACACCATAATCCGTTTGCTGTGAAATATAGGCTAATATGAAGCAATGGCAAAGTTACAAATAATCCTCCATGTTAGAGAAACGGCAGCACGGGGGGGGGGGGGAAGCAAAGCTCTTCATAGTTGCACCGACTCCTCCGAGCTGTGACGTGACCTGCTCACTTTTATTCTTTTCGCACACACACACACAGGAATGTATCAGATTAAATACTAATTAACAATGCCAGGGTTTTGGATTTGTCACAGCCAGTGCAGAGAGCCCCGGGATGTCCCAAGACGCAGGGACAATATTCACTTGATTAGACGCTACACAGCCACTTGACATTTTAGCTCAGTTGGTCATGCGTGGGGACATGCACTGCTCGAGCCCGACCAGGTGTACGTACATAAGCCAAACACTGTACAATTTTCCCCACCGTAATTATAGTGCAGGTTTGCAGCTTTGCTACCAGTCCAGTAATCAGTACAGGTTTAATTATATCTGACTTCTTTTTTTCACTTTAAAGTTATCTGAGTTTATGTTGAAAAGGGGTCTGCAGGTACGAATGCCTGCCCTGGATTAGGCTCAATGCTATGGTTTTAAAATAAAGGATTGCATACAATAACCTGTAATCATGAACTGTAAAATAAAGAAGCATTTGTTTTGTCATCCATCATTACAGGACAAGAAAATGAAGTATTCCCAAACTCAACTTCCTGTAAATAGTAGCAACAGGAAATGGTGTCAGTTACATAAATTGGAGGTGCATTGTTTACAGCAATGCTATGCACTGCATTACATATTACTCAATAAGATCATCCACTTTCTGCCTCACAGTATTCTGCACATTTCTTTTAACTCACCGGCTGTCTCTTCAGTTTATTTCAAGCACATTTGTCCTCCTCCACACGAGAAGCCATCTTCCGTTACCTAACCATTGATAGCCATTGAATGGGAATTATTTAAAATGCTCGATCCTCTTCCTGGGTTTTAATACCCAGATTAAAATACAGACCGACAGACCGTACCATCAAATGTCATAATCCTCAGAAACAGACTAGCATTACAGCATTAACTCCACTAATGGTAAGATAAACTAATAACATCCGACACTGATTAATCATTGAATAAGCTAAATTACGTCGGTCAATTAGCAGCAATTGGCTTGTTTGCATTTAAAAAGTGTGTAACATGAGACAAAATTGTAAAAAAGAGAACAAAAAACAACAACGCTAAGCTAAATCTGGATTTTCCTCAGTAGCCATGAGTTGAAACAGTCATCCAGGTCCTTCACATGCTAATTATTTAATGTAATTTAAAAATGGATACTTCTATTTTTAAGTATAGAAAACAATTTATTCATGTGTGTCTGTGTTCCTGTCGCAATGGTACACTGCTGCTTCGTTACTAAAAGACACAATATCTGACCTCGCCTGCAATATGCCAAACCTCAATGATTTACAGAGTTAATATTCAATCAAATTTAAATCACAGCTCAATAACATGTAGCAGCACTCTGTAAAAAGGTGTCCGGCGCTCTTTGTATGCTCTTCGTTTAGCAGCCGAGCTGACTATTGAGCAGTGTGGTAGTGTCCGTTACATCTGCTCTTATTATAGTCTGCACTCATAATTTATTCTCATCCTCGATGAGCTCATTTGTAGGGACCCAGTGGTACACACTGTGTGCATGGACAGCGTGCGTTTTCAAAATAATGTACTTCCCAATGGGACAGTGATTTGAAACCATTTCAGTGCTCCAGCAGTCATAAATAGCCTACAAAGGAAAAATCTAACCGAATCTTTTTGTAAGGGCCTGTGTTTGATCTAAATAAAATCCAGACGGAAAGTAGGTCAGTGCAGACGGAACTGGTGTGGGCCTGAGAGCACCGTGTCTTCAAAACACGCCCACCCCCATCTTTCTTACTGCCTCTCTGAGTCTCTCTCTCTCTCTCTCTCTCTCTCTCTCTCTCACTCTCTCTCCTCTTGTCTCATCCTCTTTCCTTCTCTTTCTGGCGTCTTTAACCTTTTGACCTTAATAGCTATGTCTTATTTTTAATTTACATAATCATTTTTCTACATATAGACAGGGTTTTTTTTCCAACATATTTTGTCCGACTTGCTCTCTTTCATTTTTCTGTCACATCCATGCTTGAGCAGTAAAGGTTGAATCCCTGTCTCTGGCCTCCTATGAGAGAAGGATTAAGCTACTGCCATCATCCAAATACAAATACAAATCACACTGCCAAGTTAAACATCTCCCGGTTTAAAGGTTGGCCCCCTCCAGTGGTCTCGGCTGAGTTGCCGTCCTGTAAATATCCTCTCCCTGTGGCTATTGCTTCATCGTCAGGCTATTGCTCTGCACGCTTTTGCTTGATTTCGATTATTCCTTACATGTCAGATTTTATGAACGTCTCAAAGACCAAATAATAAAGTCTAGATAGGGTACAATGCGTGACAGTGATTGAAAAAAAGGTAAATGTTTGTAGGAGTAAAATGCTTTGTTTAGCTTTGTTGTCCCTATTTTACAGAGGTTAAATACCGTTCAATATCTCTGAATGCAGTGAGAGTATAACCCAGGAGATGAACCTTCGGGGACTACTAAATGTTTTTGAATCTTTCCCATCAGATGATATTCCATTTCTAAAAGTGTTACTGGAAATCTTTGGCAATAAACTAAAACATTTTGTCCTTGCGCTGTTGAGAAATTTGGAAAACAACTCAACGCTAATCAATCAATCCCCAAAGCACTTCACACATAAACATATGTGTTTATTGGCAGGAGCGAACACAGTCAAAACAATAAAAAAAATTATACTGAGGTCAAATTCCTTGGGTGTGTACACAATTCGTATTAAAGTAAGCCATTCTAGCCGATTCTGTTTCTGAAAATGATTCACGACGAGTAAGGTAATAGCAAAGGGGGGTTTACCTCTGGGAAATCCATGTCAGAATGGACTGCCCTGCTTCTACCACTTGCCATCAATCAAAATATAGATTGTGTAAAGACCTACTATGGAATCGATACTTATAGGGATTGTCCATTATTTTGGGAAATACGCTTATTTGCTTTCTTGTGGAGAAGATCAGTACCGCTCTCGTATGTGGATGGTAAATATGTAAGCAGCTGATTAGCTAAAAAAACTAGCGGAACAACTAACATGTTATATCGTGTTTGTTTGATTTGTACAAAAAGCATTGATCAATTCCTCAAGAAAGTGAATAAGCCAACTTCCCTCGACGTGTATCAAAGCAGATTGAATGAAGGCATTTGACATGATTTTTTTCATCATACCCGTGTAGACGGAGATGGTGGTGAACTTTCACCCCCAGTGGGCGCTGGAGTCGACAGCAACAGCTGGCACTTCAGGTACGGCGCCTCCGGACAGGGCTACTGCCCTCCTCAGCAACTGAAGCCCGGAGAGATTCCCCCCGAAGCCTTCATCATCCCCGGATCCCCAGCCATCATTTCTATTCGCCATGACGCCGGCCCTGTGGACGACAAAGGTGACTTCATAAGCTTTGGCAAGAAGGAGGACGCCAAGAAGAAGAAAAAGAAGAAGAAGGACAAGAAGGACAAGAAGGATAAAGGAAAGGATGAGGATGATTAGAAGAGAATGGGTGACTTGCAAACAGAGCTACCAACAAACTACCATCCCAATTACAGAGCCAGAAAAAACAAAAGCCAAATGCATATTGTAGAACCGAGGGAGCCTCTTTTCACCACATTTACATCGACATTGTACAGTGGCCAAACCCTCGTTAGACGAGGCCTGCGAGCTTGCTAAACAAATGTTTCTCTCTTTCTTGGCTCATTTGGCCCTTAACTACCCAGCCCATAAAAGGTAAACAAATGATCCTAGTAGACAGGCTTCATCTAAATATTGGACCAACTTAAAACAGAAAGGGTTTTATTGGATACGATTAGCCTTTCTGTGATTTGCTGACACCCCTCCCCCCAGTTTGTATTATAAAAAACAAAAACACCTGAGAGGGTGTACTATTTGTATCTGACCATTGTCAGCTGAGGCTGCCTGTGTTGGCATCTCTGTCTTTATGCAGCCCACCCGTCCTTTTTGACTCACCTAGTCGCAGGTGAAGTGGAAGCCAAACTCAGTAAAATGAAACAGAGGCTTTCATCTTTAGTATTGAGGAGGCCTTGTAGAAATTCAGAAAATGTGGTCTTTTGTAAGAAAAGAAATTTATAAAAAATGAAAAAGTAACAGCATACAGTATATGTACCATGAAATTAACACTGAGAAAGAGGTGGCTGAGACAGGACCACACACAAATAAAGAGCTCTGTTTCAGTGTAACATAGCACATTGCTGAGGCAGAGGACCTGGAACTGGGTTGCACCAACTATGCGCAAGTTTGTTCCCAGGTTAGTGTACAAAGTAGTGGCTTCATAACTGCTAGTTAATTTGCAATTAGCAAGTTACTAAATTTGACCGTACCATGGGTGCCAAGGGGGGAGTTCTACGGCTGTAACTAGTTATAACATTAAGATTTCAGATGAGTAGCCAGTTAGTAAAAGCATTATCTCGCTGATGGGTAGCTACCACATGGATTTGTAGATGACCAGATTGGCATAAAAATTACAATTGGTAAATATAATCCATATTTCACTCTTTAAAGGACAAAACTGTTTTTTGCATGTTTAAATTCATTCTCTACAAATCTACAAAGGCCACTTTACGTCACTGCTAATATTTTCCAAAGCAGATCATTGTGTCTTGGGAAGCAGATATTGTTCATGCAAGAAGACGCAGACGTGATGAATTATGTCGGCCAACCAAGTCTCAGCATGTGGATTTCAACGTTGTATTGAATATGAACCAGACTCTGATTGAAAGAAGACACAAACTGGAAAATGTGTAATTTGTAGAAAATGGGCAGAAACATCCCAAAAGAGCGATATAGTCCTTTAAGTTGCAAAATGGAATGGAATTACTAAAGAAAAGAAAAAAACACACTACGTGTTAAAAAAGAAAGAAGAAAAAAAAAAGATTCCTGCTTTACTGTTAGTGAGTGCAACTGTGTGACTTTGTATCATTTGCACCTGCTTTATTGCTTGCTTAAGTATTTAGTTGTTACTTAAGGTTACGTTGTAACAGATTTTTGTGGTGCTACCGCTTGTGTTTTAGCAATGCGTGAAAAGGGATCAGTAACTAGGGAACCTACATGCAGCTGATGCAACCGGCCTCTGGCCTTGCCTCTTCTCTTGGAATATGGCACAGGTCAACGGGGTCTTAATCCCACTGTGTAGCAGCACTCCCAGTCTGACACACGCATTATTGTACACAAACACTGACTCTCTCTCTGCCTCTTATTCACACACACACACACACACACACAGACGTACAGAACATACCAACACACAGAGATATACTAAACAAATACACGCCCCTTTCTGGAAACTGTAGTCCAGTGCCGTCCTTAAAATATGGGAGTGTATTATATGGCTGGGACACAGGGACGTTGCTTGTTGCTTCATTTCTGTTCAAGCCTGATCCCTCTGTCTTTGAATGTTAAGTATAGTTGTTCTTCAAGCCCCGCACCACCGCCTCGACTGCTTCAGTGCTTGTAACATTTGCTTGCCCGCTGCCTGTTTTCCTCCCATTTCTTCAGATCAACATGGTCGGACAACATCTTTCGAGTCACTCTCCTGCAATGAGCTTCGCCGTGCTAACACAGTGACATTTGTGTGTTTGCATATTGACACAGAGAATACACACAGGCACCAACACGCACATACTACACACACACGCATCTTTTGTTTGTGTTCAACTTCAGCCGAGCCGAGGCGCTTCGGCCGAGTGTGTCTCCTCTGATTGCTCATTGTCGACAGCTCTCCCGTCTCTCGTGTGTTGTATTGTAAGGACCTCTGACAGGTTAGCAAAATCTGAGATCATGCTGCAGTGGAGAAAAACGAGACAAGATGGAGAGGCAACAGAAGAGTCATTGTAGTGTATTGTGCAGCTCCAACGTAGAAGATGAAGAACAGCAGATTTGAGCAGGTCATCAGTCTTTTTGCCTGAGCGGAGGTATTGCAGTTATTCCTCTGTCAGCCATTAGTGGCGACTGATCAACTTGGGTCTGCTCAAACCACTTACAAAATAAGTGCAGGGCCGTTAAGCAGCAGCAAAAGGAGGTTGACTTGGATGTGGGGGGGGGGGGATCCACTTAGGGATTAATGAAGGTGATGATAGCAACAAGCAAAGATCAACACACGTCAATAATCACAGCTTGCAACAGCTTAAAATTTGACCTTTTTTTGGGCTTAATTGCTGCACACAAACATCAGAAATAATGCTGCTGGGACGCACTGTACGGGAGAAATTTACATGTCACAACGACCCAAGTGTGAACTTTGTGAAATGATTGGCTGTATTTGGCCTTGACATTGTGAAGCCCAGGCATAGCACGGTAGATAAAGAGTATCTGGAGCAGCAGACATTGGAACGGCATCAACATGATGAAAAGTGTCATAAACTTTCACCTCAGTGTTCCTTTTTTCTTTTTCTTTGTCAGAACATCGTCTTACCAGCCACAGTAGGGTTATGTAGGTGCTGCTATCGAGCTCGATCCATCCCATGCACACGTGTATTTCCCCCTGGCCCGTCCTTCAGGTGTACTTCTGTGCTGTCAGATCACCAAGTGGCTGTTTGCATGTTGTAAGCAAAGGAAACAGATACTATATAGATACTATATATACATAGATATGTTCTTCCACTGAGAAATGCGTATCGGATTACATATACATCTGATGCAGGCTCTCAAAGAAGATACACACACATTGAAAGTTCCACACTCATACATACACACATATACGCTATTGCGAACAGTAATTTGTGGAAAAACCTAAAAGAATCACATTTTCTATCCTGTTGAAATTAAATGTAATCTTCTAGATATACATAATGCTATTGTGTTATGCGATGAGATGCTTTTTTTCAGTTTTGACCCTTATGATTTTCATAGATAAGAACATCGATCCTTAAACTTGTGTTAATCTTTGAAATGATGATCAAACAAACACTATTGTGAAATCAAATAATTTACTCAACCTCCATATCTATCCCTTGAAAAAAAAAAAAAGTGGAAAAAAAATTCTAAATAGATAAAACGATATATTAAAAAAATGAAGTTGATGTATTCTCTGCTTGTGTATAGTGAATGTTCCTCAGTGGCTGGGCGTGGCAGCCAGTGGCACACACACCAGTCGACTGTGACAGTGCAGATCTGTTAATAACTTTTTTTGTACACCTGTTCATCATTGTAAAGGTGATAATAGTGATTCTTATGATTTCCTCAATCTGGTAATGTGCTTTGTTAATATGTCACAAATAAAGTTTTTCTTAAATATCTTAATATCCGAGCTGTGTTTGGACATGATTTCAATGAACAGTGGTGTTAATACTGATAAGAGAGCAGCTTCTTGTTCTTCTTTGTTTTCGGCTTCCTGCTTGCAGCTTTCTATAGTTCCATGTGTTTCATCCTTTTTATTTTATTGGACAGTTATTTGGAACAATTAATTGCAATAAATGAAAGGCAGAATTTAGATAACAGCCTTTCGCAGCTACAGACTGGTAATGAAACATATGTGGATGACAGAATGTAACATTTATTCTCACCACATTGTAGGATTAAATATTTTAGAATATTGTTAGAATATAACTACAAGGACTTTTTTGAATCTTTCCCATTAAACGATGTTGTTCCTGGAAATCTTGGGCCATAAACTGAAACATTTTGTCCTTGGACTGTTGAGAATGTTGCTCAATCACACTGACAATGCTACTCGATCAAACCCCTAAACACTTCAACTCAGCCAAGCCCTAAACATCTGTGTTTATTGGCAGGAGCGAACACAGTCGGAGCACATTTAAAACCCATTACCAGATGAAAAACAGTGTGAGATCAACTTGATGGAAAGGGATGGTCATCCAACCCGCTGACGTGACTGAGAAAAATCCATGAAACAAACAGCGAATACAACAATCTGACTTGAATTCTCCATTGAGCTCAAGGTGAAGAGGTCAGCAACATATCAGCACATTTAAAGCTGGCAGGGATTCAAAAGGTACTGGGTAACATGCATAACTCAATCTTTGTCTCCAACAGTGTTCTCATGTATTTATTGTCTAGGAAGAAGGGCTCTGCTGGTGTCTGTGCCACGAGCTCCATCTGTCTGTGGACTGGAGCGAAACCTCCCTTCCTCCTCCAGGAGTCCATCTCTTCAGCAACACTGACACCTACTGATGAAAGATGAGACCGGCAGCTGACCCACATTGTTCATATTCTTTAACATGAAAGTAGCAGAACTCATAATTTTGTGTGTGTGCGAGAATAAAGAATAAAGGGCAACAATGACACACAGAATAATTAGCAGACATTTATTTGGTTTGTGTAAGTTGGGGCAAAACAACCTTTTATAATTTCACATCCTATATTGTTCATGCGTTGTTGAAAACTGAATACATTCGTAATTAGTAACAAACAAACATTTTGCACACACCTTTTTTTAATTAAAAAGCTGTTATCCACTTTTCACTAGATTGTATTTGCCAAAAATAATTCAAACTCCAAACGTACTAAAAAGCTTTGTTAACTTTATCTGTGGCCTTAGTGGCCTTTAACTTTTTCAAATGCAGCTTTAAATAAATGTAAATTCTGTTCCTTAATTCAGCTCTTACATCTCAGCAACATTGAAAACATGTATTCAACTGAACAATGAAAACGTTAGCCACTATGTGAAAACGCACTGCTTAGTTCCCTATTTACTACTACTTACATCTATTAAACCTGATGTTATCTTGCAAGCATACTAGCTTTGACTGAAATGTATGTCCTGCCATTGCAAAAAGAACATTTGAAGTGTTGCAACATGGACTCAATAAAGAGCACATTTGAAACGTGGCTTCACTTAAGGGAAAGTTCACCCCCGAAATTAAAAATTCATATCTAAGGTGCTATATATCAATCTCGATTTTTTTGTTTTGGAGTTAGATATCGGCCGTAGAGTTCCTTCTCTCCAAAATAATGGGACTATACCAGCATGTGGTGCTGAAAGCGACAAAAAAATACATGTGAAAAACTCAACATTAATGTCTCTTTGCAGAAATCATGACGGTTACTCCAAAAATGAAATGAAATGAAAATGTATTTCCTTGGTACATATCACCAATCCTCCTTGACTGGGGTCTGATGAAAAAGAAATAAAGGAAAAATTACTAATATTTATAAACTCCTATAAATAAGAAAAGACCATTAGGGTGAATAAATGCAAAATACACAAGACTCTCACAGTGACAGTAAAACTGTTGTGCCATGTTATTAAAGCACAGTAGACACTTTCACTGATACAATATTGTGTAATCCCCTCGAGGCTATGGAACAATTTTCTAAGCCTCATGTTCCCCAGGGCTGCAGTGATGGAATATCAGTGCAATCCACTGAACTCTGCACACTCAGGCATCCTAAAGTATGAACCTTTTCCAGCACAGTAACAATACCTTTTGTTAATTACTAGTAACTGTTGTCAAAATGTGTTCCAGAAGATTCCATCTTGTGACAAATGATGCGAAAAGGCTATAAACATTGATATTGTCTATTACAGTAAACCACAAGAACATACAAATATCTTTCTACAGTCTGTATACGGTCTGCAGCTAAGTCAATAGAGGTCTTGTTAAAAAAAATATATATATATATATAATAATTTCACAATGAAGTAATCAGTGGCAAAAAAAGTGTTTTCTAGTCCCTTTAGTTTGAGGCAAACATTCATTCATAAAGGTGGCTCTATACATCCACAAATTGCCCGGTGTAGCTGCCATACATACGGTGGCTTTGTGGGGGATTTCAAAAAATAACTGAGTAACAAATAGGGCTTTTGATCATTTTGGTCATCACTGATGTTGCGTTATTCAGTTCTGAATGTGATATTTCCAAAAGTTCTCAAACAAACCCAATGTGACAGAGCTCACCGTGGGACAGTTTGGTAGGCTGCACTTTCACTGCAGATCCCTCTGATCAAGAACACAAGAGTCACACTATGGATGACTGAATTGTTTAGAGCTGCCGGTCATTCATTGTTGATGGAAAATACTGTGTGATAGGGATTTCAATCTGCATTTCATAACTGGTAATTACTTGGGATTGAAATATTTAGGTCTTTTAATGATTTGTCACGTAATTTAAAGTGTCCCTTAGCATCAGCGTATGTATCTGCCTGTTTATGTATCTCCTTCTTCTGCAATATTGTTTACTTGAATCACTGTTGGAAAGTGCTTGATGTACAACATGTAACAAATTATTATATCTGTGTGAGACTTGAAATTCAATAGTTTAATTCATAAAAACTTGCTGACACTATTGCAAAACACACTAGCCTCAGACTACATACCCAAAGCTAAGACAGCAGTCACAATGTAAAACACTTACTTACTTAGTCCGGTACCGTATTCAACAAAACCAGCTTCATGTCTGTCCAGATGAGGCTGAAATATATATTTCCTGATAGCAGTCATAGTCTTCAGATACTGTAATTGTAAAAAAATAAATAACAAAAATATATATTTTATTATTGAATATATTTTCTTCTTCTCCTTTCTCAAACTACAGCCTTGTTTACATTTACATGTTTTGTACAGTTGTAGTAATAAGTGCATTTCCCTGCTTTTGAACTTGCATGGTAATTTACACACAGTCCCTACCCCACTGATGCAAGTCACTTCCTCTCTCTCTCTCTCTCTCTCTCTCTCTCTCTGTGTCTCCCTTGCTCTCTTTTCCTTTCTCCACCCAGCTGTATATCAGGATGCATGAATGTTGGGAGGGAGGATAGTGGCAGAAATAAGAGAGGAGGAGAGGGAGTGAGAGGAAAAAGGAGAGACAGAGAGAGAGAGCGAGAGAGAGAGGAGGAGGTAAAAAGGCAAGACATAGTAGGACTGACAGTGTTGGAGGCAGCATACTGGAGCATACTGCTGTGTTGTGATTATGGAGTGAGCGTGGAGCGGCCGGACCAAAACAAGAGGAGAAGGGATTACAATGAGGACACAGCTAGGCTTGATGCCTGATCAATAAAAGGTAGGATAGTTTAGAATCTGAGCCTTTTAAGCACAGGGGGCTTACTAAGCAGCGCTGCTTTGCAGAACTGACTGCCTGCAGACTCCTTTGAGTTTGCATTCTGCCACCAAGGGATTTGAGATATGAAGACAAAGTCACTCGAAACCTTGAGGACACTGTGATGACACACAACAGAAAAGCGGACAACTAGCTCCTGACATTTGGACTCAAGAAAACGAGACATCCCCGCAGCAGGATCGAGCAAAATCACTCAGGTATGCCTGCTAAACAAAAATCACAAAAACACATTGGGCAGCATTTGTGCTGAAGCCAGAACCAGCTCTTTTCTTTAGTCCCGATTCCTCTAAAAAGTGTGCGGCAACGCAAGAGCGTGTACATTTTTGGTTTATTCCGCCACAAAGAGGGATTTAATGGTGAATTAAACAGGGCAGGACAGTTATCACTTAGCGTTAGAAGGTGACAACAGACATAGGTCACTTGACTGAGATGAAGTAACGTAAAATGACATGACTGTGACACCACAGTTATAATCCCTACAGGTATAAATGACGAAAGGCTCTTTTTTACGATTTTGACATCCCTGGATGAAGGCTGCTGGGGAGGATGAGGAGGGGGCAACAGTGAAGGGAGCCTTGTCAGAATGTCTTTGCGGGAAATTTGTCATAAATCAACGCTTTATAGCGAGTGCAAACGCACACATTCCCACTGTGTATTTTGTAGTGTCCAACAATACCTGTTCATATGCAAACCTCCACACATTATCGCCCCGTCAATGACTACTGGACTGTTGTTGCGTAAATCAGGAAAAAAAGAAAAAGACCTCTTTGACACACAAGAATGCTGGCACATGTGAATTCATGGGTGGCACTGGCACACACACAGCAAACGTCACCTCTGTGAGCGGGTGCTCCAGTTAAATGCATGCAGAGCCTAATGAAGTCTATCGCATCAGTGTATATACATTATGGCCTCTTTCCAAGGTGAGCTGAGTGTGGAGGACAACAGAGTGGAGGCTGCTTGCTATACGACAAACATTTCAATGAAGAGAGGAGAGAGAGAGATTTCACCACAGGAGCTTTGTTTTGAATTTCCCATTCCACAAATGAATTATTCTTTGTGCTGTCAGACATTGAGAGGGGATCTGTGCGATATGTTTGAACTGCTAATATAATATAGAACGCTTTTTTCTTTTGTAGCCACAGCATTTACATATTGATATTCATATTTCTTATCCAGTCACACCATGTCACAGAAGTTTAAAAGTCGTATCTCAAATCTGCAACTGAGTTTGACAACCCTGGTTATCCTTCATTTCTGCAGTATCGAAGCAGTTCCTCGTCTCCTTGTGTAGGTCTGTGCATTGTTTCAACTTGTCCTGCTTACTCATGACTTTCTCTCACAGCGCCGTCTCACACGCCTCTAACTTGTTCCTCTCTTTACTTTTAGGCGGATGTAATGGTGTGGAAACGCTGCCGCTCTCTCGATTCGTAAAAGGTTTTTGAGTCAGCCACACAAGGGATGGGGAGACGAGCGGCCGACCTGACAACTTCGGTTCCAGTTTTAGGTGTCCCCGCCCTGGTTGGAGTGCGTGGCTGGAGGACAACGGGAGGCGGCAGAAGCAGAGGAGCCCTGCTGCAGACGTGGGGACCTCAGTGCAGCATTGGTGTTCAGACGTCCCCAGGGATCAGCAGACAATCCACCCAGCACGGTGTACAGCTAACCGACACACTCTCGACGCCATCAGATAACATTACTCAAACGACCAAGAGCTACATTACGAAGGAGACGGAGTACGAGGAGATATTACTGCTAACAAAGAGTGACAAAGAGAAAAGGACTCTTTTAAAACAGAAAAATGGGGAATCCAAGACCAAAAAGGAAGTGACTTTCAAAGCACTTGGAGGTGAGGCCTCTCAGGATGTGGCCTGCAGTCAGAGGAGCAGTTGTGGGACTTATTGCTATGCCAGGGCAATCAAGACCAACCCACACCTTGCGGTAACCAACGTCAGGCCCAAATTGAAATCTGCCACCCGCTACACAAATGGCAGCGTGGTAGATTCGGAGGCGATTGGTGGGATTAGCGTTCATAACGATGAGGCAGAGCCTGCAAACTCTCGTGGAAGAGACCAAACAAGACTGCAAGGTCACTATGCGGAGCGGTGTGAGAAGACGCTGCTGTTATCTTCCGACCCACCTTTCAGTGTGACACAAAAGATATGCTGCCATTGCGGAGGCAGACAGTCTGTAACTGCCGGAGTTGCGACTTTAGTGGAGAAAAGCTCCGCTGGTGATGCTTGCCTCGGAGAGAAACCATTAAAGGCAGCCCTCACCTCGCTCTCCAACACCACGCATGTCCCCATGCCGAACATTGAGAAGGACATTAAGCCAAGCCATTATGAGATCTCTGAGAGCATCATGTACAGAGACAAAAGGACACATGTTAATCCACAACTGTTATATATCAGTGAAGAACTAAAGTATGGAAAAGCACCACACCCAGCATGCCCAGTGCACTCCAGGGGCAACTTGGTCACTTTGTCGCAGACACATGCTGCAATCGATGCGACATCGCCTCAACCCACTGCCATCCTACATGCTACAACCATCACGGTCACTAAAGCAACTATTGAAACAAGACAAGAGGATGCCAGTACAAAATCTTTGGCAAAACCATCCCAGGACAGTAAGATCCCCCGGCCAACAAGCCTCACGTTGACCCCACAGATGGCCACGGCTACCAAACCGAACAACCCGCATTCACACACTTATCCTAAGCACCCCCGGATACCCCAACACAACTCTACGCAACGCAGCATGCCTCAAAATGTGTGCACGTCTGTACACGCTACGCCCGAAGGTGCTCTGTCGCCACCTTCTCGTTTGCACACCGCAGCTACCGGACTTGGAAACACAACCATCGACAACATGCTGGAAACAATCACAAGCTTCAATACCGCACTGATGTCCACTGAAAGTATACCCGCCGAAGTTGCTCAACGTGAAACAAATGCAGCGCGAGTAAACACAGCAACAAAAACAACTCATAGCCCACGAATGACCCCAAAACGTCCCAACTTAGCACTGGCAGCCAATGCATCAGACCCCATTCATAAACAGGAAACAACTGCGCCACATTCACCCGCGAGCCCACCACATACACCACGCGCTCCAGATCATACGACGCAAGAAAAGCCGTGCTCAAATGTAGACAGCAAATCACCAGGTGAAGTGTCTTTTATCGACACTGTAATGGCCTCAACTGTATTCCCCACACCACACACAAGGACGCCACATCCACTTCTCAGCACCGTTGTCCCACGCAGCACATTGAATCACAACACTAACCCAGATCATATAAGCACTAAACATAAATCTGCTGCAAGACAAATGTTTCAACAAAACTGCTCCAATTCTGAGCCCACACTTCACGTCTCTACAGCATCTCTAAACACAACGCCAAGTGCAGCAAAACCCCTGGACTCAAAAGCTAGGCTGCTTTCAAGTGCGGCCCCCAGCTCCACGTCTACACGCGGCGGCACTCGGCACGGAAATAAAGCCCTCAGGTACTCCTCAGTCAATCTGAAAAATTCACCACCCACAGCCACCACCTCTTCATCTGCGTCGACAGGGAACCAAAGTAATGTCTGTGTATCAGGTGCATCTTCACGTCAATCAGCAGACACAACACAACACGACACAGATCTCAGTCGTAACGAAGCGCCTCGCGTACATCGACCTGATCGCATGCGGGCAACAGACAGCAGAGTCTGTAAAGAATCTGGTGTCGTTCGCAATCAGGAAAGCAACTTCGCAACAACTCCAGTTGAATTATCTGAGCCGCTAAATGTGTCAAAAAATCACAACAGAGGTGGTGATGCGAGCCCCCACCCTCCTAAATCAACCATTACTTACGATACTGAATCTGATGAAAACATATTCAATGGTAATCTACTCAATGAATTAGTTGTGCGTGAGTCAAATGACCATGAAGATTCAAATCTGTCCCAGGTCACCAACCTTCAGAATCACATTTCCCTAATTAAGTCAAGCAGCTCTTGTCTGCAGGGTTGCATAAACACAGAACAACAAAGACTTGCACATTGTCAAGGATATGCAGAAACAGGACATGAGGGACACTGCGCTACATGCCCACCAGTAAAAACAGCCCAGGAGACGGATTCAAATGCAGAGCAGTTTGCCGCGGGAGTCTCAGTCAGGCATGCAAATATTAAGCTTAAATCCAATGCGGATAAACAGACCTTTCCCAAATACCCAACACCCACTCCCAAAGCACAGACAAACTGTGCGCCCATCATCTCATCACTTGAAAACACTGGTGCACATGTCGAGCACATCACCGAACCTTCCGTCAACCAAAACTCTGAGTCAGGCCGTTCATCCCAAATACCACAAGCACACACAAGTCCGGAGCTTTCATTCACTGCACCGGGCCCTGAACGAGGTTCCACGCCGCCGTCGTTGACGACGCACACGGCATCCCTTCCCCGCCTCCGGTGCTGCGAGGCGAAGGCAATCGTCAGACCGGATTCGGAGTTTAGCCCTGCTCACCCCCACCCAGCCGCTATGGCCCTGTTGCTGCCGCCCTCCCCACAGTGTCGCAAATCAGCAGCCCTGCAGCAGAGGCTGGAGACGGTGGAGGCCAGCCTGGCAGCCAACAAGGACAGGATCACTACTCTGCTCAACATTATCCATGACCTGGAGACGTGCCACACTCCCACCGGCGGGTAAGAGGATGCGTGAGGGTGCATGTGCCTGCACTTGTGCGAAATGACTCCTCTTGTGGGATGTTTTACTTTACATAAAGACTCCCAACATAAATATTCTTATTGCTTATTAATGTCTTACAGTTTCACTATAGTACAAAACCTGCAGGGTCAGATATGACTGAATTATTAATATACTCTACATTCGGTCCGGTAAAGGTGTAGCTGTTTGCCAGAAAGAGAATTACTTTAAAAGCTGTCCTGCAGTGCTGATCTTTGACTATCCAGTGAGTCATCACTTGCATTTACTCACTCAGAGCCTTTGCCATTCAATGGCAAAGCGCATTGATTTTCAATCTAAAAATAACTCCTGTGTTTGTGTAATTGTATGCATGATTATTCATCCATAGTTTAGAGGGAAACTACTGTTTACTGCGATAGCAATAACAAACCTATACATACTGTATACGGTTGAGATTGTTGCTGTAATCAACACAGATATCAGTTTTGTTTTCCAACCATATTTAGTTTTACTAACAAAAAAAAGTGACAGATTATCGCAGCGCACGTTTGATATTTGGTCATCCCGCCTGGTGCATTGAAGAAAGAATGTATAAAATCTGTGCAACACTGTTGTTCTCCAAAATGTAATTGGTAAAGGTGAACTATTTTTAAAAAATTAACACAATTTGTAAGAAATGTGGCAGACGAAGCAAATTGTGTGCCACTTTGTGTAACATTGACTTTGTGCTGACAATGAACTAATACCCACGTTGAAAATAAGTCTTAAAACAAGAGAAACTAAAGTATGATTTCTACCTTTTATTACATACACTATGATGTAAAATACATTTTGAAGGCAAACATACTGTTAAGATGTCATGCAGCTGGTTCGATAGCCACGATGTACGTACCTCAAATCAGGAATCCTAGCGTGATGATGTGCGGCCTAAACACAGTTACAAGTTTGCAAACAGGTCCTTTAATGTGTGCCCGAGTGTGACGGAAACCTACTTGGGCATTTCAAGAGGGCCTGTCTCGGGGAGATTTATTTAGCCATATTACTCTTCTGGGACAAATGACAGGAATTAAAACCGTCTTCTGGCAATGTGTCTCTGTCAATCATTCTCATCCACCGTTGTTGTGCTAATCAGTTGCGACTGCCTCTGAGGTCATGTTTCAGAATAACCAACTCCTAATAACCGACTGATATCTGACATAATGCATGTCATGCAGCTCATTGCTGCCAACAGCAGTCTGAAGAAATATCAGACTAAAAGGATGAGTGGAGTGAATTGTGAGAGTTTGAGGTTTCCCTCATTTACTTTGTGAAATTTTTTATTTTTTTTTTCCTAGTCGGCGAAGCTACAAAACTGGACAGGACCTCAGAAACTGCTCAACCTGCCAGAAGACTGCTTGTATTGTCTACAGGTGAGATAGTAGTGAAATTGCCTGATGCATGCATTTGAACTGATAAGTGATCAGCTCTAGAATTCCGCTCTTGTCCGAATATAAAACTAAAATTGCAGAATATCATGAATATACGTACATCACATGGCTTAGAGCTTTTCCTTGATGTTGATGAAAGGCCGGGGCAGGAAGTCTTCATTTAGATTAGGTTAAAAATGTGTCTGGGCTTGAGATATTCAGGATAATAGGAAATCAATTAGAATGAAATCAATAATTTAGAACGGTACTCCAATTGAATAGAGATATTATGAACTGCCACAGGCCGAGTGCGTATATTAGTTAGACAGAAATGAATGTAACGTGGGTGTCAATAAATTCAGAATTACTTTCAAGGACACACAGAAGTGGGACCATGCATCACTTAATTATCCATGGGAAATTTCAAAAATATTGGTTTCATTTAAAGTTCCCTTTGTGCTTGAGACACACAGTTCAACAAGGTTGAGCCCATTTGCCATTTCAGTTGCCAAACGCTTCTCTGGCAGCCTGTTCACTTCATTTCTCTGAGAATTAATGACTCCCTGTATGGGCAGCTTACCAAATGAAAAGCTCTGTATTGCCCAATTGTTTCTCACTCAGAATACATAGGGAGATTACATTTTCCCCCTCCGAGCAAATCATAAAGCATTTGGAACAACTGACACATTTGAGCGCCGACTGTATGTGACTCAACCTATTCACACAGCAGATTTACGGAGATTGAGAGGCACTCTCTGAAATTCAAAGTCGCAAAGAGGAAGTCGTGCCCAAGCAGCCTGCACGGTACATTTATAATGATCCCTTTACTGAAGTCATGTTAGCATTGTTAAGTATTTTGGCATGTGAGGTAAGCTGTGAGAGGTAGGTGAATTTATCTAAGTTGGCCTTATCTTAAAATGAGACATTTGGCGTTAAGTAAATTAAATTTAAAGGTGAAATGGTTCTTTTCAATTAAATTTAAAAAAAGAAAATGATAGACTTATGCATTATGATACAATAGTTGTTGGCTCTAATATTCCAACTTTGATCTTCGTTTGCACCCATTAGCTGAAATGTTGCATCAGTTGGACGTGATAGAGAGAAAAAAAAAAAAAAGCAATTGTGCCAGAAACACTTTTTTTGAAAGGAGGTTATGAGAGGCCGATAAATCTAAGTCTTCTCATTATCTTTTGGAGAAAAAAAGCCTCGTGCTCTACAAAGCAAATCCTAAAACGGTCGTTATCTTGAAGTATTCAAAACATTCCTCTTGATCTGCTTATTTTCAAAACCGCTTTTGCATGACAAAAAGATGTTGCGCAAGTCGATTTGCTGACTGGAGTGTGTTGGCGTCTGGTCCATAAAGGTGTGAACATCTTGTTCAAATTTCCTTATCTTCCACTTGGCCTTTAAAAAATAAAAAGGAGACCCTGCCGGGAATGTCTGCCTGCCTGAACCAATCAACCGCTTTGCAATCTGACAAACGTATGCATTGATTTGCATCCTTTGGCATGGGCTGAATGATTTGATGTTGTTTCACATCGGTGTTTTGTTTTTGTTTTTGTAATTTTGGGCTGCATGTTGCTCTGTCTGTCTGTCCAGTGTGGAGTATGACTTCAGGCAGCAGGAAAGACGCTTCTTGGAAGTTTTGAATCATCCAGCAAGAGGAAATAATGCTTTCTCCGTGCACCTATCCCAGCCCCTGAACTTCAGCCTGCTCCGAAATGTCGTCATTAAGAACTTAACAAAGTCAAAGGTGAGAAGCAAAAAGCTGTGCAAGACCCTGTTCAAGTGGCTGCCCAAGAAGATCCAGCAAGTGTAGACCTCTAAACAATACCTGTGTGCTGTTTCATTGATAGCCATAAGCCTGTGTTTCAAGTGACCAGCAGAAGCCTTCACGGAGGACTCTATTCCCTTCCTACCCATAGAATGAGATTAGGCTCTTACCCGGTAGAGTTCCACTCTCCTGCACATTGTCAGAGCTTATTAACATGATTTTGTACTCAAATTTGCCCCTGATCTGTGTGACCTTCAGCTAGTTTCATCGAAAAGGAATTCATAATTTTACCTTTGAAAGTTAATGTTATTTTGTTGTCAACCTGCCTGCTTACAATTTATGGCTAACCATAGCCACAGATTTCTTAATCAGACATTCTGTTATGCACAGTTCTGATTAATGCACTATGAGTTACCATTGATGTTACATTTCCCCTTCAACTGTCCCCCTTACCTGCTTCTCCTGAGACTAAATGTGCAGCATAGGACACGTTTTCTTGAATGGAATCCCTTTGAAATGCAAAAATAAATCAGAATTTGCTGATTGTTTATTTGTCTGTAAATATGTTCCAGTATTGTCCAGAGCGTTGTATAGTTTTATAATTCTCTTAATGCAAGTAATGAGTGAAATAGAGAAAATGTTCAGCTGAGGCGTACAGCTTCAGTGCATCTAAACCTTTTCACATCTGCAAACTAGCTGCTAAATAGAGAAACATTCATTATGCCTTTGCCAATTGTGCCGATGGTCTCCAAATCCCCAAACAATCCGAACTTCATAAAAGGGTTTCGGGGTAAAACAATGACATGCCTAAACGCTGCAATGAAGCGTGAGTCACAATCAAAATGTCTATGTGCACATGCTCTAGCCCACGAACACACAGGCACATGGACATAAAACGCGGACTACAGCAAAATGAAACAAAACCTTGCGTTTGCTTTTACCGAAGCTTCAGTGCAATCAGTGCGAGGGGAACATGAGATTTAGAGTTTATGAGTAAGGAACGTGTAAACAAATTATCTGAGCAGTAAGCCAAGCAAACATCGTGATATTACCTTTGGAGCAGGAAGTACTTAGGTGCTTTAATTAAAAAACTGCTAAGAAGAAATTAGAACAACTGAAAATGAAATTCTTGTAACAATGGTACTAGTGGGAGATGTGGGTCCATAGCAGCTGTGACAGCCTTGTAGCCTCATGCAGGGAACAGTTCTGCCACAAAGGCAGAGTGAGTGAGTGAGTTTTTTAACTAGAAATGATAACAATGCATGCATGCATGCATACATACAGAGCTGCAATGTTCAGAAAACGGCCAAAAATCGTCATACTTTATGTAAATTAAAGAGGAGCTCCACTGACGTTTACGCATCAAAGTCTGCTGAAGGTCTCGGAGCGTAGCACAGAATGGAATGGATTGCGGAAGCTGATAGCACCCTGAATTGCGCATCATTTGCAACCACTAACTTCCCCGTGTGAAGGTCCAATTCACAAACGTTATTGCGCTAATGAAATTGCAAAACAAACAAGCCCATAGAGTTTTGCAGCTGAGTGCAATTTTACCTTTTTTGCGGAGGGAGAGGGAAAGAATAATTTGTTTATTTGACATGTAGGGGAGCTATGTTCATTCATTTGTCATGACTCAACTTTCACTGCATCCTGTCACTGCATCCCAAGATATACGAGTTTGAGCGGAGCCTTCGCCTGGCTACAATCACTCCTGCCATGATCACTGGAACGTCTGGGCGTCACACAATGCGCTTCAGTTACCTCCATCTCTCTGAAAACGCAAATAGTTTCACTGTAACTGCGTGTTTCCATTAGTGCTGATCTTTGTGAATTGGACCGTTTTTGCAATGAGGCTCATTTGCATGGAAAGGGGCCAATTTTGGGCCGAAAGTATGCATATTACCTATTTTAAATATGTGCAAAAAGAACAGGAGCACAAAGATGCTATTTGTTGGGCAGCATAGATAGGATCGCATTTCACCCTTGGTGAATGCAAAGGGCAAAAGGGTTTCTTTTGGTCTCGTTTGTGCAGGTTTAGCGACCACAAAAGCCGCGCAATCCTCGCCCATGACAGTGTTATAGTGGTGCATTGCTAAAACGGTGCAGTCCTCTCCTAACATAAGGGGAGAATTTGTATTGCAAGTGCCATGCAGTTGTTCTGAAGCTCCTTTTATAAGGCGTTAGCACTAAATTATTTGTCAGAAATCATCCCAAAGTCATCTATACTGTGTGTTAATGGTGATGTTTAAGAATTGTGCGTCATAAATCTAGCTAACGTTGTCGGCATGAGATAAAAATGCACTTACTTTATATGGATCCTATCTTACAATATTAGTTTCAAAGAGACATTATCATGAAACTTCCTAGCCAGGAAAGAAAAGACACAAAGAAAACAACATAGAAAATCACGAAATGGGATGAACACGCTTTTCCGTACTTGCTCACGAAGAGAGTTCTAAATTCTTGACTTAAGAGCTCTGCTGAGATTCTGCAGTTCTCTGCCAATGGACTTGCCAATTTTGAAAAGTGGTGCTGCTAAACAATATTGCACCAACAGCGCTGCACTGAGTCCTCGAGCCAAAGAGAAATGGGTCCATAAAACAAAACATAAACAGGTCAGACAACATATTGCACTTGTCCATATCAGAGAATATCTTTCACGGTGACTGAAACTACTTGTCATCTCTGTGAACATTAAAGAGTTCAATTTCAAAATGACTTGACAAGTAGTTCTATGTAACATCAGTTCAAACCCTCCCCACAGCCATAAAAGCATCGGTGTAATTCACATGGTGGCAGAGAAGAACAATTCACTGCGTCTCAGTTATGTAATCACAGCAACAATATGATTGTATTGCTTCTTTTGAAGAGTGGTGGCTGGGTCGAGCTGGGGGCACATATTGGTGGAAATAACCTAATCATTACAAACACGTCTGTTACGCCTCGGGAGATGATCCTGCACCAGTCAGGCATGAAACGGCTGTGCTGGTGCACTTGCGATGTGCACAATTCTCAAATGAACTGCACAAAGAAACGCCTTAAGTAGTTTGTAAAGTAGCATTTTTTTCCCTCTACTGTAAGTGTTTGTCTGTTTCTCTTTACCCACACAGTTGATCAATTTTAATCTGCATTCGTCTGCATTTATTGTCTTACAAAGTCTGCAGCGTAGCCTCTAAATAAGCTTGTGGGCCACAAGGGCATCTAGGTACAGTATATATGTGACATAGCCAGTTGTGTGGAATCCTATTTTGTATGAAATACTTGTGTTTCTTGTCAATAATCCTCTGTATTTCCATATTCTTACCATGTGTAAAATGTAGCCTTTTCCTAGCACATGTAAGTTGTCAGGAGGGCAGTTAGTTCTAGAATAACTTTAAAAAGTAGCACGTTAGTATGTAAAATAACATGTCATTACTCACATATGTAACAAGTATGAAACACAAAAGTTCATGCATATAATATGTTCCTGTATAACAATATTTCCATTTGCTGCACAGTGATCAATCAAGCATGGTTGGCCGTTTGCGACCGTCTTATGACGTCGCACATAAAACCTGCCAGCTCCATTAATTGACTGGTGGTATTAACTTTGAAGCCAATGACTCCCTGTAAGGTGAAATGATGACTTGCACTGAAACACTACTGAAAAGTAACACCCCAGCTCTATACGTATGCAGCCCTCAGCCACTTTCAGCTCATTATTTTGGTTCACTGGTCCATCTGGTTGAGGTCCAACGGTTCTCCCCAGCCCCTGAATAAAAAGGCATCTGCCAGCTCACGAGCTCAAAAAAGCGATACACTACCTGTGCATAGAAAACTGGCAGAGAGCTGAATCATTGTCATCACTGTTATTATACTATGCACACTATAACTATGACATATCACACTATACTGGGGCACATGGCTAACGTGCAAATTAACAAGAAACCCAAAGAGCAGCTAAGGCTGAAGGAATTGTCATTATTTATGCAGGTATTTTGTTATAAACCAAAGTATTGGACCAATTGAAAAGTTGGCACTAGGTGAAACATTTGTATGCATGTATGTAGTGAATGCTGAGACCTTTCCCTCAAAAAAACAGAAATGTCAATCTCATAATGGCAGAAATGTCAAGGGATGATCAGGGATGACCATGACACAACATGAAGCTCAAACTAGTGCCACACCAGACAGGAGAACTGTGGCAGGATCTGGAGAGGAAGATGGGATCTGGAGCACACGGTTATTGAAGAGCATTAAGGTGCAGCATTTAGACACAGAGCACGTCTGTATTGTTGAGATATTTCAGTCTGGACCAAAGTGGTGGACCAACCGATAGACAGACACACATTTCCATCCCTAGAGCCACATTAAATGACTCTGTGCAAACTGAGCAACACAAACTATCCTGTAAAGGCCACTGGTGTCGATTTGCATTTTTTAGCATTTCTGCACCACAGTAAGCTGTATGTGGCACCAATGATTCATGCATGCTTTTAATCCAGTAAAACATATGCTAATCATTTGACAACACCGTACAGCATCAAATGAGACATAAAGCAAGGTAAAAAAAAAAAGCAAGGCCATTTTACCAGAAAGCTTTTTGCCAGGAAGAATCCCTTTCTTTTGAAATTTGGAAACAACTGAGCTAAAAGTAATAATTATTGCAAGTTTTGATATCTTTTAGGCTACACGTTTTATGTCGTGTCCACCCCATGTGAGACAGTTCTAGAGAGGACAAACTCAATTCCACTGCAGTGCTTTTCTCCCAGGGCAGCCAGCTTTGGACTTACAGACATTTTTTAGACTGAATATCCATGCAAATTGGCCCTGTTATTCTTCTTTCCAGTGAAGTGTGGACAGCTACATCTACAGGATGCTAATGAATTATTTTTCTTTTTTCTTTTTTCTTTTTTTTACAAATCTTACACTAATAACGTGGTTGTACGGCAAACTGAACCGACTCAAATATCTGGTGTTGTCGTGAAATTTAAAATGTTGCTCTGGTTTGTAGTCTGTTTAAATATCTGTTAACAATTAGTGTGAGAATGAGTGTCAGCCTTTCATCCGTAAATGAACTCTGACAGTGTCATCATAATGATGCTTTACACTCTGAAATGCACTATTAACTCCTCACCTTGCTGTGACACCTAAAGTGCTAATTGGTAAATCATGCTTCTTCGTATGAGGAATGAACCCTCATGGATTTTAACAACAGAGGGGCAGAAAGCTCTCATTATTTATTATATTTCATGCAAGTAGTTGTCCTTATCCTACACTTGGTGGGACTAACCACCGGTGGGGTAAAGAGTGGGATTTTTGCAAGCCAAATATGATCACAGCCTTGATCTAAAACAAAGTAACGAACTTGGCAGTTTGACAACTTTGTCCGTATATCCTCTGCATTAGTTCTAATTATCATGGAATAATCAAGACTTTATTTGTCTCTCTTGGAAGACTTCAACAATATTTATTTTTGCTTATGACTTGAGGTTTGTGTAAAAGTTTGGCAG